TCAGGTCTTTCAACACCCCTCCTGAAATCAGTGGTTCTGGAGTGGGCAAGCACTTCTCATCTTCCACAGTGAAGACGGAGGCAAAAAATGCATTTAGCTTCTCAGCCATTTCCCTATCATCCTTCAATACTCCTTTTACCCCTTGGTCGTCCAAGGGCCCCACTGCCTCCCTGGCTGGTTTCCTGTTTCTAATGTATTTGAAGAAAGTTTTATTGTTGGTTTTTACGTTTTTTGCTATATGCTCCTCATATTCCCTTTTTGCCTGCCTGACCTCAGACTTGCATTTTATTTGCCATAGCCTGTGTTCCGTTTTATCAGCCTCACTGTGACTAGCTTTCCACTGCTTAAAGGAATTCTTTTTACTTTTTACAGCCTCCATTACTCTGTTTGTTAACCATGCAGGCTTTTTCCTATACCTGTTTGTGCCTTTCCTAACCTGCGGAATATATATTTTTTGAGCTTCTAGGATCGTAGTTTTAAATAGATCCCAAGCTTCCCCAATTGTTTTGACCCTTTCTACTTTTCCTTTCAGTTTCCTCCCCACGTGTCCCCTCATATCAGAGAAATTACCCCTTTTAAAGTTAAAAATGGTTGTGTGAGTCTTTTTGGCCAATTCTCTATTTGTACAAATGATGAACTCAACAACATTATGATCACTGTTTCCAAGCGGTGCAATCACTTTTACATCTCTCACCAGGTCTTGAGTGTTACTTAGGACCAAATCAAGGATCGCCTCTCCCCTGGTAGGTTCCGTGACCATCTGCTCCATAGCACAGTCATTTAGAGTGTCTAGAAACTCAATCTCTTTTTCCCGGCTAGAACACATATTGACCCAATCAATGTGTGGGTAGTTAAAATCACCTATTATTACACAGTGTTTTTGTCTAGTTGCTATCTTTAAGGCATTCATCATTTTATAATCCTCCTCTATCTTTTGATCTGGTGGGCGATAACAAACTCCCAGTGTTAAGTTTCCTTTTGGCCCCCCTATTTCAACCCATAGAACTTCCAGAAGCGAATCCAATTCACTTAGCCTCTCAATCTTTCTAGACTTTATACCCTCTCTGACATACAGAGCTACCCCACCTCCAACCCTTCCCCCCCTATCCTTCCGATATAATATATAACCGGGAATCACTGTGTCCCACTGATTTTCCTCATCCCACCAAGTTTCAGAAATACCCACAATGTCTATTTTTCCCTCCGACACCAAGCACTCCAACTCCCCGATTTTACCTCGGACACTTCTAGCATTTGTATAGAAACAGCTGTAATTTCCCTTACAAGTTAAGCCTGCATCCTTCCTCTTGCTATCTCGAGTCGTTGTCCGGCAGTCCATGTCACCAGCCATGGCCTCTGTGGACAATTTCAATCCACCTCCCTGTAGAAAAGCAACCGGTACCCCCTCACCTCTCTCAGATGAGCCAACCCGAACCAGAGACTTTTCATCTCCTGTCGGCTTTCCCCCAATATTCAGTTTAAAAGCTGCTCTGCCACCTTTTTGATTTTAAGTGCCAGCAGCCTGGTTCCTTCTCGGGACAAGTGGAGACCGTCTCGCCTGTACAGCTCCCTCTTGTTCCAAAAAGTATCCCAGTGCCTAACAAACCTGAACCCTTCCCCCCTACACCATCGTCTCATCCACGCATTGAGACTCCTGATCTCTGCCTGTCTCTCCGGCCCTGCGCGTGGAACAGGTAACACTTCTGAGAAGGCTACCTTGGAGGTCCTGGACCTAAGTTTCCTGCCCAGCATCCTAAATTTCTCCTCCAGGACCTCACGACTGCATTTCCCCACATCGTTGGTGCCGACATGCACCACGACCACTGGCTCCTCCCCAGCACTATCTACCAGCCTATCTAAAACACGCGTAATGTCCGCTACCTTCGCACCAGGCAGGCAAGTCACCATACGGTCAGTACGCGGGTTCGCCACCCAGCTGTCTACCTGCCTAAGGATCGAATCACCCACTACCAAGAGCCCCCCTCCCACCCTGCCCAGGGATGGTTCCTTGGTGCAAAAGGATACCCGCTCACCAGCTGGGGAAGAGGTCCCTTCTGAGGGCACATTCCCCTTATCCTCAGCACGGTGCCCTGTTTCCCCTAGACCCTCATGCTCCCTGACAGCAGCGGGGCTGCCAGATCCAGAGTGGGACGTAGCTAACAAGTCCCCGAGAGTCTTTTCTGTGTGCCTAGCTGACTGTCTCTGCTTCTCCAGGTCAGCCACCTTGGCCTCAAGGGAGCACACACGTTCCCTGAGAACCAGGAGCTCCTTGCACCGAGGACACACCCAAGACTTCTGCCCAGTGGGCAGATAGTCATACATGTGACACTCTGTGCAAAACACTGGATAGCCCCCAACCCCCTGCTGGCATTCTGGCTTCATAATTCTTTTAAAATAAGTAAATGTAAGCCCCCTTTTAAATCCCTTTGTATTTATGTGTTTTTTCTTGTCAAAGTCAAATTACTTTATGGGGAAAACAAAGAGCCTAGGGTTTTCACTTTCTGCCTCTTCTTGGGCGTCTCACAGAGCCCCTAGTCCAAGAGTCCCTGGGCTAAGAGCCACGGGCAAAGAGTCCTTTAGCTCGCCCTTCGGCTCGTGCCTCTGTCAAGGTGTCATAGAGTCACAGGGTTGGAAGGGGTCACACAGAGGCCATCTAGTCCCACCCCTTGCTCAGTGCAGGATCAGCCTAGAGCATCCCTGACAAGTGTTTGTCCAGGACGCTGCTTCAAGACTGCCAGTGAGGGGGAGTGCACCACCTCCCTAGGCAGCCCATTCCACTGTTGCACGACGCTTACTGTAAAAAAAGTGTTTCGTAATATCCAGCCAGTACCTTCCCGTCCTTAATTTAAACCCATTCTTGCGAGTCCTGTCCTCTGCTGCCAACAGGACCAGCTCCCTGCCCTCCTCTAAGGGACAGCCCTTCAAATACTTCAAGGCAGCAATCATGTCCCCCTTCAACCTCCTCTTCTCCTGACTAAACACACATCTTGGTTATCAAACAGTGTTCCCTCTAAGCTGTGCTAGGGGGTGCTGGCACACGATTTTTCAGCTAACTACTCAGGGATTTTAGCTTCCGTAGGCATTTTCTCCTCCATTGGAAGGGGCAGGTAGACTTGTTCTCCAGAGGCCTGGTCTAACCCCCTAGAGGAAATTTGACTTGGTTCTGTTTTCTCTTATAATGTTTACATTCTTCTTCTTCTTTTTTTTAACTGCCCCGAAGGACAGAAATTGTTTAAATTATTCTTAAAGTACAGTTAAAATATAGTTTAAAAGAATTCATTCTGAGATTTTTACAAGGTTATGGAAATAATCTAAAAACTAATCTTCTAAAAACTAATAATCTAAAAACTAAGTCAAATGTAGACTCATTCACAACTTTAATGCTACTAGCTTTTTTTTGCTCACAAGCAATGCTCCCTCTAAGCTGTGGAGTCTTGTGAGCAAAAATTCTACTTTGTGAGCTACTGGCATTAAAGTGGTGAGCAAGCAATTTGGCTACTGCATAAATTAGTTTGCTCTGGAGCCATCCTTCCTGAGCCAAGACAAAAAATGTGTGAGCCAGAGACTAAAAAACTGTGAGCCAGCTCACACTAACTCAGCTTAGAGGGAACACTGCTCACAAGGTAGAATTTTGCCCACAACACTGTGGAGCTTAGAAGGAACATGGGTCATCAGGAGATCAACTGTAAGCACAGGAGATCTTGAGGTTGCACCTGAAGGCCGGCAGCCCTAGTTATTACAACCCTTGAACGGTATCCCAAAAATCAGTCAGTCCATCACTTCAGGGGTGACTTTTTCTCCCACATAGCATCTACATAATCGGAAATATGGATGCTTCTTTGGAGAATACACACAGACATGTCTCTTGTGTCATTTTGTTTTTTATTTCTGGAAAACAAGATTGAAACAAAAAAAAGAGAGAGATGCTTCCACTATACAGAGCAGAGAACAGGCACGTTTGTGAAGTGAAGGATGAACGACAGGAAGGGAAGGGTACCCTCCTCCCATGCTCAACTCTCCGTAGCTTCTGGGAGCTGCCCTGTCTATCTAACCCAGTAGCCCCTAGAGGAGGTCTGACAAAGCAGGACCTCCCTGTACCTTCCTCCCCACTGATGGGGTAGGGGAAATTAGCGACCCTCCCTGTGAGACAAGAGGCACAGTTGTGGGTGTTTTCAGACAGCTGGCCCTCCGCTCAGCCCCCCTGGACCCCTTCTAACATCAAGGAGGAAAAGAGCATTCTAGGCCTACCTTCCCTGCAAACCATTTGCAAAGAATCCTGGGAATGTTACCTCAGGAAGGGCACTGTCCTTACAAATCCCTAGCTGAATGTTCACAGAACAACGGTCCCCGGGGAGAAGGAATAATTATTAAATCTGTTCACACTGACGGTGTAGATATGTTCCTAATCTGGCTCACGAAGGAGGAGGTGTTGTGTGCGTGTTCGCTTGAGGTTAGGGGGTTCAGGAAGGCATGCAGTCGTAAACAGACTTGGAGCTTGGCACTGGGGACAGACAGGATTGATGCAGGCCCCCAGGAGGTGCAGTTCCAAGATTAATCAAAGGGATGACCACAACAGGCACACTAGTTCAAATGAGGCTTCCATTTATGCTTGAGTGCAGCCAAGAAGGGGTTGTAATGCTGGGGGGGAAAGGGCGGATGGGGGGGGGGGAGATCTGAGATGGGAGCACCATGCACAAAGGTGAGCTGCGATGTCAGGGTTTGCCCTCCCCCAAAGCAAGGGACTCTGTTGGCACTATAAAGAGGGTGGGACTCCCTGTGTCGATGGAAAGGGGAGGGCCCAGTTGGCAGCATAGAGCAGGGTACTGCAGCGTACAGGGTTTGTGCCAAGGCATTGAGTTAGCACCACCAGGAAAGGAACAGCTGAGATGCTTTGGAATTCACTCTGCCAGGGTGGGTGGGTGTTGGCGAAACAGGAATGAAGAGAACTGCACCACGTGTAAGTAATATGCTCCAAGCCAGGGTATCGGCTCAGTCCCTTCCTAAACAGCCTCTCCTTTGTCTCGGGTCCGGCTCAGCATATCCATGGGAAGTCCTGGGGGCTGGCCAGTGTTGGTACGGTGTCGGGCCCGGGGGCGCAAGCGGCGGGGTGGCCTGGCCGAAGGTGGCCCCCCATCGCTCAACGCATCCGAGCTCTCGTCAATGAAAGCCAAGTTTTCACCCGTGTAGTCTATAGGCCGCAACGGGGCGGCATTACGGGTGTTCAGCTGGGCCACGCGCCGATTGGTAGCCGGAGAAGGGCTCGGACACGGTAGGCACAAGGGCGGCAGTGGCGGCAGTAAGGCTGGGGGCTCCGACGGCAGTAAGGGTGGCGGGGGCTGTGACGGCGACGGTTGCAGCGACTCCTCGCTTTCCTTCTGCGGCAAGATGTCCGAAGGAGACGGAGGCTTCCCTTTCAAGGCGCCCACTCTGTGCAGCTTGTCTGGCAATGCCATGTTTGGGACACGCAGCTGGGATGCCACGTTGCCCGTCCAGGAGGCCGCGTGGGCGGTCAAATCCCCCATCTGTGGAGAGTGGGAAGAGGGGAGAAGAAGACTGGAGGACATCAGAAGCGTCTCAAGACCCACCTAACCTCAGGTTGCCAACCTCCAGGTGGTAAACAAGAACGAAAACAACCGTGGTGTTATATTATGAAAATATATTTAGACGACTGTTCTGTAGTGAATCGTATTTCCTCATCAGTGAAAGAATCTGTTTCATTGAAGTGGGAAGAATGTTGTGTGTTAATTCACAGATTAGAATTGTTGACGTGTAAACGAATGGTATTCACGCAGCACACTTAGAGAAAGCTGTTATGTGCAACGGCATTATATGCGGTTTCCGTTATGTGTATGCGTATATTTTTACAATGTGATGAAGAAATACGATTCACTACAGCATAGTAAAAAGGTAAAGGTAAAGGTTCCTTTGCTCGAAAGCCAGTCGAGTCCGACTCTAGGGTTGCGGTGCTCATCTCCGTTTCAAAGCCGAAGAGAAAGCGCTGTCTGAAGACTTTTCCGTGGTCATGTGGCCGGCATGACTAAACACCAAGGCGCACGGAACGCTGTTACCTTCCCACCGAAGTGGTACCTATTCATCTACTTGCAATTTCTTGCTTTCGAACTGCTAGGTTGGCAGGAACAGCATAGTAGTCTAAATATATTTCCATAACGTAACATCACGGTTGTTTTCGTTATTGTTTGCATCCTTCCTGTGATCTCGCTGTTCTTTCTACAAACCTCCAGGGGGTGGCTGGAGATCCCCTGGGATTACAACTGATCTCCAGGCGACAGAGATCGGTTCACCTGGAGAAAATGGCCCGTTGGGAAGGTGGACTTTGTGGCATTATAACCCACTGAAGTCTCTCCCCTCCCCAAACCCCACCTTCCTCCCCCCAAAATCTCCCAGTATTTCCCAACCTGGAGCTGGCAGTTGTAACCTAACCACCCTCTTTCTTTCTCCTGTAGCTTTGGAGCAGTAGTAGAATAACAGAAGGCTCCATTTCTGCTCTCCACAGAGAAAAATCTCAAGAATATAAGACCTGACTTTGCTGGATCAGACCTGAGGTCCACCTGAGCTAGGATTACCTTCTCTGGATTGGGAAATACCTGGTGATTTTGGAGGTGGAACCTCAGGAGGGTGGGGTTTGGGGAGGGGAGGGGCCTCAGCATGGTATAATGCCATAGAGTCCACCTCCCAAAGCAGACATTTTATCCAGGGGAGCTGATCTCTGCAGTGTGCAGATCAATTGTAATAGCAGGAGATCTCCAGGTGGCACCTGGAGGCTGGTAACCCTATCCACCAAGGCCTGCATCTTATTTCCCACCTTGGCTGAAAAACGGCTCCCGGAAGTTCACAAGCAGGGCATGGAAGCAAGAGCCGCACCCCCCCCCCATTATGCCCAGCAATTGCCATTCAGAGGTATACCACCTCTGAACATGGAGGCTCCACTTAGCTATAAAAATTATACCCCGCCTTTCTGCCACTAGGACATAACAGATTAAAAACATACATAGGAAAAGCACCTTAAATACTGAGCCAGGGCTCTTTCTGTAGCAGGTACTCATTTGCATATTAAGCGACACACCCCTAATGTAGCCAATCCTCCAAGAGCTTACAATAGCTCCTGTAAGAAGAGCTCTGTAAGCTCTTGGAGGATTGGCTACATGAGGGGTGTGTGGCCTAATATGCAAAGGAGTTCCTGCTACAAAAAGAGCCCTGCCGGAACACATCATTCAAACAAAACCAATTAAAACCAAGATAAAATACACTTACAATACACTACGCACATATAAAAACAACAGTTAAAAACAGGTCAGGAAGGAGGAATCACTGAAGGAATGCCAAACAACACAAAAAAGTAGTCACCCGTTGGGGGAAGACGGCAACAGAGGAGGCAGGTGAGTCTCTCGGGGGCGGGGCGGAGAGTTCCAGAGTTCTGGTGCTGCAACGGAGAAGGCCCTCTCTGGGTTGCCATCTGCCTAATTATAGACAACCGGGTGCCTGAAGCAGGGATGCGGAAGATGACCTTAGCAAGCAGGTGGATTTGTAAGGCAGCAGGCAGTCCTTCAGGTATCCTGGTCCCAAGCCACATAGGGCTTTAAAGATAGGGGTTTAAAGATGGAGCAGAGGTCCATCAGTGGCTCTTAGCCGCAAGGTACATATGGAACACTCTGTCTGGGGCACTGATGCTCTGTATTCTTGGTGCTTGTGGGGGGCAACAGTGGGAGGGCTTCTGGAATTCTGACCCCACCGGTGGACCTCCTGATGGACCCCGAGTTTGGGCCACTGTGTGACACGGAGTATTGGACAGGATGGGCCACTGGCTTGATACAACAAGGCTTCTCTTATGTTCTTATGATCAATATCGGTACCTTGAATTGTGCCCAGAAACATACCGAGAGCCGGTAAAAATGGGCCAGGCCTGAAGCGATACAGTCCCTACGACCCACTCCAGTCAACATCCTGGCTGCAGCATTCTGCAACAACAGTTTTCAAGGGCAGCCCCATGTAGAGTGCATTGCAGTGATCTAATCTAGGTGTAGCCAGGGCATGCACCACAGTGGCCAGATCTTTTCTGCCCAGGAAAGGCCATATCTGGCTAACCAGTCGAAGCTGGTAAAAGGCACACCTGGCCACAGCTGCCACCTGCTTATCCAGCTGTAGGCCTGGGTCCGAGAGCACTCCCAGACTACAGACCTGTTCCTTCAAGGGGAGTGCAGCCCGATCCAGAACGGGTGAGACCTTGAGTCCCAGGTCAGACTTTCCACTCTTTAGCACTCCTGTCTTGCCAGAATCATGACAGGTCCTAGCTGTTGACAGAGCTATCCTCCACGTAGACCCTCAGCCATGATGACTACATGGAACTCCTGTTGGGTATTACAAGTTGAAAACACTCAGTATATCTGGGGTTAAATGTTTGTTTATGTTACTCACAGGAAGTCACATGTTTTTCTTTTTCTTTCTTTCTTTTTTTTAATAAATTTATTTTCACATTGGTTACATGAAAAACATGTGACTTTTTTAAAATGTGAAAATGTAAAAAAAGTCACATGTTTTTCATGTAACCAATGTTCTTTAGCTGTAGAAAGCCCGGGAATTTTCTCCCTGATCTAGGAATTTGATTGGGACTAAAGTTTCAAAGTGTATTACCATTTTATGGCTTCTCTTCCCGTCTTTGTTTGGTGTTCTGAAGAACAAGAAGAGTAGCCATAATCTCTCTCTTCTAGTTTTGTCTTTGTAGAGTAAGGATGTAGCCGATTATGCTTTGTTGTTATTTTCATCCCAGTTACCCTTCCCATGCTAGAATTTAGCAAAAACTCTATATTTTAATCACACATGGACTCTCAGTCTGAATTATTTTACTCTGGCTCTGCTGGACTATCTTATCTCTGCTAAATACCATTTTTTCAATATCTCACTATCACCCAACAACTCCCCGTTTTCAGTTCGAGAAATTCTCTGAATAGTGGCAGTGAGCTAACAATAGGACCTCGGCTTCTGTGCCCTGCCTACAGCTGGGGGCTTCTGGTTCCATAAATGAATTATATATTCTTACATCTGGCATACACATTTCTCTTGGCCTCTTCACTAAAAGCTCAGAAAGAAGTCCAGTGGGTGGGGATGCCAGCCTCCAGGTAGGATAGGGTTGCCATCTCCCCGATGGGGGTGGGGGGTTATCCACTTTCAGGGTCCCCAATCCGTCGCCACTCAGCTGGCTGCCGGGGGGGGGGAGCCCCGTCCTGGAGGAGCCCATCCGTGGGAACCATAGAGGTTTTTTCCCCTCAAATGGTAGAGCATCCTCCTGCCACGTGCCCTGCGTGATGATGTCACCTGCATAAAGATTCCTGGACAAAGAGAGACACCCCCACTCCAGAAAGAAGTAAGGACCTGGCAACCCTAAGGTAGGACCTGGGGATTCCCCGGAATTACAGCTCATCTCCAGACAACAGAGATCAGTTCCCCTGGAGAAAATGGCTGCTTTGGAGGGCGGACTCTAGGGCATTGCACCCCAATGAGGTCCCTGTCCTCCCCAGGCTCCATCCCCAAATCTCCAGGCGTTCCCCAGCCTGGACACGGCAACCCTACCCCCCCATTCCTCGCCGGTGGCCAAGGAAGACTTGGCAACCCTGGACCAGTGGGCGATGGGGTTTGGGTTTTTAAACCTTGGTCTCTCTCTCTAGAAGAAGAAGAAGAAGAAGAAGAGAAAAAGAGATTGGATTTATACCCCGCCCTTCACTTGGAGTCTCAGAGCGGCTTACAAACTCCTTTCCCTTCCCCTCCCCACAACAGACACCCTGTGAGGTGGGCGGGGCTGAGAGAACTCTGACACAAACTGCTCTTTTTCAAGGACAGCTGTGCCAGAGCTTGTGACTGACCCAAGGTCATGTCAGCAGGTGCAAGTGGAGGAGTGGGGACTCAAACCTGGTTCTCCCAGATTAGAGTCCGCACACTTAACCACTACACCAAACTGGCTCAAGTCTAACCATTTTACCATGCTGGCTCTCCACAAGATACCAAGTTGGATCCTGTGGATTCATTCTGCTAATGGTGGTCCTCTCCCCCACTAGGGGTGCCATCCTCTAGGTGGGGCCTGGAGACCTCCCAGAATTAAAACTAATTTCCAGATGAAAGAGATCCGTTCCCCTGGAGATAGGGTTGCCAGGTCTGGGTTGGAAGATACCTGGAGACTTTGGGGGGCGAGTGGGGTTTGGGGAGGGGCCTCAGCTTGGTCCAATGCCATAGAGCCCTCCCTTCAAAGCAGCCATTTTCTCCAGGGGAGCTGGTCTCTGTCAGCTGGAGATTACTTGTAAAAACGGGAGATCTCCAGGCCCCACCTGGAGGCTGGCAACTCTACCTGGAGAAAATGGCTGTTTTGGAGGGTGAACTCTATGGCATTATACCCTGCTGAGGTCCCTGCCCTCCTCAGACACCACCCTCCCCAGGATCCATTAGGGTTGCCAGGTCTAGGATGGAAAATACCTGGAGACTTTGGGAATGGATCCAGGAGAGGGCAGGGTTTGGAGAGGGGAGGGGCCTCAGCATGGTTCAATACCATAGAGTTCATCCTTACAAGCAGCCATTTTCTCCAGGGGTGCAGTTGTCATTTATGCATGGTGGCAAAACGCATTTGTTACATGCAGGGGTCATTTCGTAGAAAAGGAGGTGCAGGAGCTCATTAGCATAACTTATTAGCATAACTTATTTACATATGCCACGCCCCCTGACATCACCTGAAGTGTGTCAGAAGGCAACACCCACCACTCAGGCTCCACTGGACTGTTTTGGATTGCTAGCTATTGGGGGGGGGGGGAACGTGCAGATCTGCCCTCACAGAGGAGGGAGAGCTTGTACCTGAAGGCAGGCTCTGCAACTTACCTGGCTGCTTCTTGCTCCTCGTGGCCCAACTGAGGGCTGCTGGGAGCAGGGGGTGGGGCTTGTTGCATGTGCCCACCCCCTGGGCTCCTTACTGCCGGAGCTCCGCTCCTGTGCGCTCCCGCAGGAAATGACCCCTGGTTACGTGTATTAATTTTGGTTGTAAGTAGAAGTATAAGAAGACAGTAGTCTCTAGTGTGATTTGTACAGCGTGACAGATTATTCTGTTTATTTGTTTGTATAACTGCATTTGCTGTATTTCCATTTTTGTGTGTTTATTTTCTCCAGGGGAGCTGATCTCTGTCAGCTGGAGATCAGTTGTAAAAGTGGGAGATCCCCAGGCCCCGCCTGGAGGCTGGCAACCCTGTGCTCCATCCCCAAAATCTCTAGGTATTTCTGAGTCCAGGACTGTCAACTCTATTCCCTCCCTCCATGCTAGGAGGTTTCCATTAAAGCACCACGACCAGCAGAAACAGCGATCAACAGGATCCAACCCATAGATGTCCCTATTAGGTGCTATGACTAATAGTTGCTGGAAAGTAGGTCATTTATGAATTTGTTCAATTATTTTTCTTAGCTCGTGGCCGCATCACCACACCTTGTGGCAGTGAGTTCCATACATTCAATTATCCACTGCGTTAATCTGCTTGCCTGAACTGAACCTTCAGTTTGCTGTGTCGAATGCAGTGAGGGTAAGACAAGGTTGCCACCATCCCCAGTGCCAATATTCTCTGTTGCACCCAGGCACCCCCCCCCAAAAAAAATATCTGTGGGAAGAAGTCTTCCTCCTCGTGCTTAAAATCCAGGCTTAGTTTACGGGTGGTAGACAACTGTGCACTATAACCACTAGGCAGCACTGCATTTC